GCCACATAGGAAGCCACATACAGAAGACAGGTGGATTTGCAAATACTTGGATAACAGATGATTTCAGAGGTACAGTAAGGGAACAAGATGGCTTTGCAGAGGGGGCATCCGAGTGTACCTTTGAGGTGTACACTCAGGAATTCCCCAGGTCGTCGCCAGTGATGGAGGCAAAGCTCTTCAGGCAGCAGCAGACCATAGAGCAGCCACCGCCTAGAGTGTTAGTGCCACCTCCTCTCTGAGGGCTATTTGTGCTTGACCTGGGAGTTTGTGCTAGGCCAGTGAGCATCTCCAGGGTAAACTGTGTCAAGAAACAGGATCTTGCTCTTTAGGACTTTCTCCCAATCTAGTACAACCTCTCTGCTAGAATTTGCAAAGGATATGGTCTTTGTGGTGTCCTCATAGACTGGATTTAAGGGACACCTGTTGTCTAAGTTCCAACTTTAAAATGACCCTGTGATGACACTGTGCCTTTTCACTCTGTAGGGTACACTTCTCACCTGCACTATGGTCTGGGAAACTCAAGTCACCATCCCTACCATGTTCTTCCTGACTTTGAAGCAGCCTGGTGACCCCAGGCAGGAACTGACTAGCAGGGGAATCTTGATGCAGGAGAATTTTTAAAGAAATTCAGGAGCAGAACCGAAAGGAGGAGAGAAGGTGGGGGTGGGAAAGCTGACAGTTGGAGACCAGGGAGGGCCCTTTGAGGCCTGGGAGAGTGTATGTGGATCGTGGGGAGACCTTTCCCAGCATTTTGGTAAAGGTTCCATCAGTGCCCTGTCCCTGTGTTGGGGTCCCCCTCTCACGAAGTATCCTCTACACCATTAGCCACCTCCACTCTGTCTACTAACCTGCAGTGGGAACAGCAGATGCAACTGGCGGGGCTGAAGGTCAGTGGGAACTCCAGGGCCCCAGAGAAGGCCGGCGCCACACTGAGCAGGATCCAGAAGAGTGGAGAAGGGAGGTCAAGGTCCTTGTTAGAGGAGGGTGTGAAGGGGTCAGGATGAAGGAGCAGCAGGACCTGAGGCCCTCCCTCTGCACACAGACTTTCTCTGGTGGGCTCAGGCTCTGGCAACAGCCCCTTATTTACTCCCCTCCCCCTCTGTTCAAGCTCAGCCAATCCCCCCTTAGCTGATAGTGGAGGGGTCACAATGGGACCCTTGTGATGTCACTGCATCCCACTCCTCATTCCTCCCTGTGAAGTCCCCTAGAGCGGTCCCTGCCCAATGCCCTGTCCCAGAGGGCCCACCCAATGATAGCTTTTTCCTTCCTTCTAGCCCCTCCTTCCTCCCCTCCATCGACCCCCATGTATTCAGTATCCCTCAGGAGATGTCCAAAATCTGCAGCAGAAAAATATAACTCAGAAAAGGGACATTCTAACTTCAAACTTTCAAGTAGAAGCTCAGCAAGCTCCTGAACCCAGAGTGAGGATGCCTTCCAGAGCTGGCTGCCACTGAGGCCCTGCCAGAAGGCAGTGATGAGCCTAGGAGGCCTGCCCAGCAGCTGCAGGGAGGGGCGGAGGATTGGGGCTGCATCCGTGAGCATCTGAGCCTCTATTCTAAAACATCTGCTAGCACTGGATGCTGGGGTTACCATGGTGACTGAAGACTCTGCCACCTGGTCCACCCCTGTCATGACCACAGTGACCCCCAATCTAATGTTGCCATCAAGGGTGGTAGCCCAGATGTGCTGGATGTGACTAGCAGGAACAAGGAGAAACACAACCCTTAGTAGGGGGGGGGGCTCCACTTTGCTAAGGGCTAGCTTATGGTTTGGACAAGGGAAGCTGGCTCTGTGGTCCCCACCTTGCAACAGGGGCAGCAGGGACTGGGAGAAGAGAGTGTGGAGTCTGTTACCGAGCTCCTCTGAGAAACAGACACCAAGACTAAATTGCAAGGGTTTTAGGAGGGAACAGACATACATGAAAAGAACGAGAAAAAACTGGGTAAGCCACTAGACCATGAAGCAAGTGTGACCCCCAGTGTGGGGGAGAGAGGGGAAGAGGATGGGTGGGACTGCTCAGGACTGTGTTCTAAGGAAAATCTGTGGAGCCTTTAGGGAGTCTTGGAAACAGCCAGCAAAGAAGGTTTGGCTGTACCAGCAACAAGTCAGCCTTAGCATCCCCAGCACACTTGGTCATCAGAGGAGGGCTGCCATGGGAGCCCTGTACCAGGTAGACACCTGGGGGCAGCAGCCCTTCCTGGAGGAGGTCAGGCACAGAGTTCTAGGCACTGAGGTTGGATGGAAGTGCAGCTGAGAGAACCCAGAGCTCCCTGGGGCCAAAGCCAGGACCAGAAGGAGAGCACACACAGGAAGAGCTAGAAGACCTCCTTGCTGGTGGGTTTGTCCTAAAAGGGAGCAGGCAGGTGGGATGAGAAACTCCTGCAAGAAACCAGAACGCCATCTGTGGGGCTCAGGGACTGGGTGTTGTCAGGAAAGAGGCGCTTTTCTATTTATTTTTACAATCAAAGTTATGCATTCACATGGAGAAACAAATGGTCAAATAATCCCTAAGAGGCTTTATTTCAGGATACAGCTACTCTGTCCCCCTTTCCTCGTTGCCTGCCCACAAAACCATTTTCCTCTCTATGACCTGAGTCACAAAGACCTTTTCCTGTGCTGTCTCCCTCTGCCAGGGTGCTGGCCACCCCCTCCGTTACTTGAGCCCTCACAGCTATGCATGATTGCTGCATTGGTAATCTGTTGCAACAATTTGGTGATAATGATTTCACACTTAACCCAGATTTCCACCTGCACAACATCTCATGCCAATTAAATGAGATTTTCACTCATATGTTGCCCTTTTTCTTAAGAACTGATACTTTATGTTAAAGCCCTAGTAAAATAAATGATTGAGTTCCCTGGGAGTACTCCTGCCACAGTGTTTGGGCCTTGATTCAAACACCTGCAGTGCCTGGGAGACCTCCCCCCCCACCCTCCACACACATTTATGCAGGTGTCTGCCCTGTTCTCACATAAACTTCTAGCACCAACCTTCCCTCCAGCGGCTCCTAGCTCTGTTTGCTGGGGACACAAGAACATAGCAGTCTCCAAGTCATGCGTATATTCTTTCAAACATAAACTCAAACCCCAATGTTCCCCATTCTTCTTGGCACTGCTGTTGAGTTCCCCAGGTTTGAAGGCTCTGAGTTCACAGCTCAAAGCCCGTCATGTGACTCTAACCCCTTTCCTCTCAGAACATTTCCCCTTGATTCTATTGATCACATCTAGACACTCAGCACAGAATGGGATGAGAGGGGACTCAGCAGTAATGGGGCACAGCAGTAATGGGAGAGATGGCAGGTGAGGTTTCATTACCATCACCATGGAAGCCCCTCACGCCATGTGCACTGGGTGTAGTTTTGAAGGTGGGAGGGTCAGACAGCCCTTCTTGGGCCCTGAGTTCATCCCAGCTCACTGGGACTCTCAGATATTAGGGATCCCTGGGAGGCAGTGGTATCATTGAGCCCCCGTTTTAAGGGCTTACCACACTCCCAGCTCTGTGTCTTCTTGACAAGTCCACCCTCTCTAAGCTCTAATTTTTGTTTTTACTCTCTAAAGTGTGGGGCATTTCTTTATTTCACAGGAAACAGCAGGCAGTGAGATGGAGTGAGGACTAGAATAAGGCCAGGAATATTGCTGAGATGGTTCTCAAATCAATGGAGGGAGATGTCTGTGGATGAATCACAAAGGGAGGGAATGGGTGCAAAGGCCTCACTGAGATCCAATGATAGCAGAAGCTGCCAGGGTCTGACATAAACCAATTTGGTTGAAGCGTTGGGAGAGGCTATATGACCACATTTTGTTTCTATTGGCACAATTCCATACATGTAAAATGTCATGAGACTCAAAAATGGGTTTAGCAGAAGCTCAAAAATGTGCTACAAAATTCAGGAAGAAGCTAAAATATTATCGGATTATTTTATAAAGGACACAACTAGTAAGGAAGCTTTGAGAACACCAGCAGGCATCATCCAAAGAAGTAGATTCCAATAATAATAATAATAATAATAATAATAATAATAAAAAGACTGGGAGGAATACATCACAAAGGAAGGTGAGATTTGGGAAGACAATTACTCTAAGACCCGGTTAGCAGCCTGCACCTGATTCCAGAAAGACAGCTGGAATCAAGGAGAGAATGAAGCAACTTTACTGGCTGGGTTGAAGCCTACCCTACCAGAACGGAGAAGGCTAATGGGGTTATCAAGGTTCTCTTGAAGGAAATAATCCCCTGGTTTGGGTTGCCCCAAAGCCTCCAAAGTAATAATCGCTCGTCTTCCACCTCGCAAACAACTCAAAGCATTGCTAAGGCTCTCAGAATCAAATACTATTTACACTCAGCATGGAGGCCTTAATCCTCAGGGAAAGTAGAAAGGGCTAATCAAACTTCAAAATGGGCATTAGCTAAGCTATGTCAGGAAACATCAGAAACTTGGATCAACTTACTGCCCATAGCCCTCTTAAGAAACCATTATTCTCCAGGAACAAAAATTAATATGAGCCCATATAAAATGTTATATGTGAGGTCATTTTAACTAATGATCTAATTACTGATCCAGAAACGGCTGGGTTAATAAAATACCTAGTTAACCTTGGATGATTTCAGCAGGTTTTGCGAGAGTTTGGAACTCAAAGGCTCCCCACACCAGGAACTAACCAGCAAACCAAGATCAGGCCAGGAGATAAGGTACTTGTTAAAACATGGAATGAGGAGTCACCCACTCAACAACTACAACCCTAATGGAAGGGACCGTTTTCACTGGTGTTGGCCATGCCTTCCACGGTCAAAGCACTAGCATTAGATAGTTGGATACCTCTTTCCAGGTTTAAGCCTGCAATATCTGAAGTCCTGAACCTGCAACCAGAGGCTCCCACCAGCTACTATACCTGTGAACCCATAGAAGACCTGAACTACCTATTTAAAAGACAGAAGATGAGTAAATACCTAACGATTTTCCCTGGTGTAAAATGTTAACTGATTTTTGCTCTCTCACTTACAGATGCTTGTATAAGGGTTTCAGCCAATGTTGGAACAAAATCCAAAATCAGGCCAAAATACCCACCTGTCATGACTGGATCAAGCCAGCTCCACCTTTTACAACCAGGTACAAGGCTCGCCACAACCTATGGATACCCGCCTAACTACCTAGGGACAGAGAGCCACGATCCTCAATAGGCAGGGACAATGCCCATGGCCAGCAGAAAGTAGCTACAGAAAGCTGATCTTCAGCCCTTCTGCCTCCCATAAAGATTTATGGGGATCATATCTGTCAGGGGCAAATGAGGCAGGAGAATAGGGAATTCGGGTAACCAGGGTTTCAGCTGGCACAGCCAGTGCCGCAGGGGTGGAAGAACAGCAGGTGCAGCCAGTTCAAATGAGCAGAAGAACAGCAGGTGCAGCATCTAGGCCACATCCTTGCTTCCATGACAACAAGCCACTTCAGCCTCTGATTGGTCTCGGGCCAATCCTTTATGAGGTGTGGTCAACTGGAGGCCTCTGAAGGGCACCGAGGGGTGTTGCCGGGTTTTTTCTTTAATAAAAACTATAATTGAGGGGGCTCTTGAGCAGCCGCTTGCTCAAGCCCAATCCCACTCTGAATTTTCTTCAATAAATCTGTGCCCACTCTGGCATTTTGTTCAATCCCTTGCCCAATATGCCAAGAATAGCGGGTGTAGCATACAGGCCACATCCTGGCTGGACAACTCACATTTAGGACACCCTCTCCGGCAACAGGGTGACATCATCCTCTTTCCTCAGCCTGTTAAAATGTTGGTATTATGGGCGTGAGTTGCCCTGCCTGGCCTGGAACTTCATTCTTTTTTTGCTGAAAATTATTCCCTTGTATGCATCTATTACATTGAGCCATTCATCAGCTAGTGGACATTTGGACTGTTTCCACTTTTGTTTATTATGAATAAAGCTGCTATGAACACTTGTGTAAAGGTTTACATAGACATATGTTTTCATTTCTGTGTACATATGTAAGAGTATAATTTTTCTTTTTACTTTTTTGAGACAGAGTTTCACTCTTGTTGCCCAGGTTGGAGTGCAATGGCGTGATCTCAGCTCACTGCAACCTCCGCCTCCTGTGTTCAAGTGATTCTCCTGCTCAGCCTCCCAAGTAGCTGGGATTACAGGTGCACACCACTGCACCTGGTTAATTTTTTGTATTTTTAGTAGAGATGGGGTTTCACCATGTTGGCCAGGCTGGTCTCGAACTCCTGACCTCAGGTGATCCACCTGCCTCAGTCTCCCAAAGTGCTGGGATTACAGGCATGAGCCACCGCACCCGGCCTCTAATTTTTGGGTCAAAGTGTAACTCTATGTTTAATTGTTTAGGGGAATTTCCAACCTGTTTTATGGTTTGTTTTGTTTTGTTGTTGTTCTAAGACAAGGTCTTACTCTGTCACCCAGGCTGGAGTGCAGTGGCACGAACACGACTCACTGCAGCCTTGACCTCCTGGGCTCAAGCAGTCCTTCAGTCTCAGCCCCTCAAGTAGCTAGGACTACAGGCGCATGCCACCGCACCCAGGTAATTTTTTATTTTTTTGTAGAGATGGGGTGTCACTATATTGCCCAGGCTGGTCTCAAACTCCTGAGCTCAGGCAATCTGTCCACCTTGGCTTTCCAAAGTGCTGGGATTACAGGCGTGAGCCACCACACCTGGTCACCAATGTGTTTTCTAAAATGACTGTACCATTTCCCATTCCCAATAGCAGTGTATGAGAGTTTCATTTCTCCCCCACCCTCGCCAACACTTGTTCTTGTCTGTAGATTTTATCATAGCCATTCTAGGGGGTATAAAGTGGCATCTCATTCTGCTTTTGATTGCCTTTCCCTAGTGATTAATGGTGTTGAGCATCTAATTATGTGATTATTGGCAATTTGTGTATCATCTTGGAGAAATGTGCAAATCCTTTACTCATTTTTTCACCTGGGTTACTTGCCTTTTGTAGTGTTGTTAAGAGTTCCCTATGTATTCTGGTACAAGTCCCTTAACACATAAACAAGTTGCCAAGTTTTTCTCCCATCTTATGGATTGTCTTTTTAGTTTCTTGGTGGTGGACTTTGAAGTCATAAGTTTTTAATTTGATGAACTCCAATTTTGTTTTTGTCACTTGTACTTTTTTTTTTGAGACAGGGTCTCACTCTGCCACCCAGGCTGGAGCATGGTGGTACAATCATGGCTTATTTCAGCCTCAAACTCCTCGGCTTAAGTGACCTTCCTGCCTTGGCCTCCTGAGTAGCTAGAGTAGAACTACAAGCACATGCCACCATACCCAAGTAATTTTTTTAATTTTGTTTTGTAGAGATGGGGTCTCTTTATGTTGCCCAGGCTCATTTCAAATTCCTGGGATCAAGAGATCCTCCCACTTTGGCCTCCCAAAGTGCTGGGATTACAGGTGTGAGCCACCATGCTTGGCCACTTTTACTTTTGGTGTCATATTTAAAAAATTATTTTTCTGATCCAAAGTTACAAACATTTACCCTTATGTGCTTTTTTTCAACATGTTTTATAGTTTAGTTGTTATATTTAGGTCTTTGATCCATTTTGAAATTAATTTTTATGTATGCTGTGAGTCCCAGCTTCTCTGGAGACTAAGGTGGGAGGATCAGTTGAGCCCAGGAAGCCCAGGCTGAAGTGAGCCATGACGGGGCCACTCCACTCCAGTCTGGATGACAGAGTGAAACCTTGTCTAAAAAAAATAAATAAAATAACCTCATGAGAGATTAGAGAAACAAGTATGACAGTAGCTTTCCATATTTTTTCTTTGTTATATGTACACATTTATATTATATGCTCACCACTATGATCTTTTCTCTGGGTTCATTAATTATATATGCATATCATTGAAATTTAATTTTATAATTTAATCTTCAAGAAACAGAACATTTGGTGGACCTGCGAGGAATTTTGAGGAGTAGTAAGAACGGTCAGTGATGTATACAATAACTATTGGAACTGTGCTCTCCTATTCTGTGTAGAGGGTGCCAACTTCTTCAGATACAAGGAAGGCTGTAGTTTGATAGAAATAGAAAGTTGTCACATAGTTTCATGTAAGTCCTAATAAGTGTTGAAGGGTGCTGATGGAAACTCAGGAGTCAAATGGTGGATGGCTGTCCCTTTCCTTTCTCTTTGTAGGTGAATGGATTTACTTTCTCATGGAGCAAAGCCTGTTTGAGACATTTTTTTTAAAAATCCCATAACCAAATGAGGAATATGTTCACCTTGTTGACTCACAGAGGATACAAATCACACACAAGCAGATGGGGATTCAGAGCTGCAAATTTTTTCATCTGCTGTCGAGGGAGTGTGGAGGTTGAGTGAGTGGAAAGAACTATATGAGAGAGACACAAAGAGGGCAGGGGAGGGAGATCAAGTCAGAAGAAGCAGAGGCACCTACCTGGAACTCGGACTTTTTTTTTTTTTTTTTTTTTTGATGGAGCCTTGCTCTGTCACCCAGGCTGGAGTGCGTTGGTGCGATCTCGGCTCACTGCAAGCTCCTCTCCCCAGGTTCAAGTGATTCTCCTGCCTCAGCCTCCCAAGTAGCTGGGATTACAGGTATGCACCACCATGCCCAGCTAATTTTTTTTTTAATCTAGTAGAGACAGGGTTTCGCTATGTTGGTCAAGCTGGTCTCGAACTCCTGACCTCAGATGATCCACCCACCTTGGCCTCCTAAAGTACTGGGATTACAGGTTTGAGCCACTGCGCCCAGCCATGATGTTCTTTTCAGAAGTGGCATTTTGAGTGTCCTGATTTGGAGAGTTGTTGTGACTGCTGAGCTAGGACAGAGGGAAGAAGGGAACAGCTGCAGGAGGGTGAGCGGCAGGGAGGAGGGGCATTTGTCTCCCCATACATCTTGGAAGGTTCTTCTCCCACACTCTTTAAACCCTCATTTCTTCTCCAAAGCTCAGCTCACACATTGCTCCCCAGAAAGGCTGCACTCATGACAATGGCCTTTCTCTCCCTTCTCTTGATCCCCTCTGTGCTTATCCCTCTGCCCCACCTTTGCCACATCCTGCTCCCTTTCAGAGTCAGTGGCTTCCTTCTGTCTCATCCAGTGAACTGTGAGCTCCCTAGGAAAAGCAATAGTCTTACCCTTGTTTTTCACCCTCAATATCTATAGATATGCCACATAGAAAGCCACACACAGAAGACAGGTGGATTTGCAAATGCTTGGATAACAAATTATTTCAGTGGTACAGTAAGGGAACAAAATGGCTTTGCAGAGGGGACATCCGAGTGTACCTTTGAAGAGTAGTTCCTGGGAATTCCCCAGGTGGTCACCAGTGATTGAGGCAAAGTTCTCCAGGCAGCAGACCATAGAGAAGCTGCTCACTTACAGTGTTAGTGTCACCTCCTCTTTGAGGGCTGATGATACCATTGGTGAAGGCTGTTTGTGCTCAACCTGGGAGTTTGCGCTTGGCCAGGGAGCTTCACCAGGATAAGCTGTGTCAAGAAACAGGATCTTGGTTTTGAGGTCTCTCTCCAAAGCTAGTACAACCTCTCTGCTAGAATTTGCAAAGGATAAGGACTTTGTGGTTCCCTCATAGACTGGATTTAAGGGATATGTGTTGCCTAAGCCTCATCTTCTTCTTCTTATTCTTATTATTATACTTTAAGTTCTAGGGTACATGTGCACAACGTGCAGGTTTGTTACATATGTATACATGTGCCATGTTGGTGTGCTGCACTTGTTAACTCGTCATTTACATCAGGCATATCTCCTAATGCTATCCCTCCCCCCACCCCACGACAGGCCCTGGTGTGTGACTTCCTGTGTCCAAGTATTCTCATTGTTCAATTCCCATCTATGAGTAAGAATATGCAGTGTTTGGTTTTCTGCCCTTGCGATAGTTTTCTGAGAATGATGGTTTCCAGCTTCATCCATGTCCCTACAAAGAACATGAACTTACCCTTTTTTATGGCTGCATAGTATTTCATGGTGTATATGTGCCACATTTTCTTAATCCAGTCTATCATTGATGGGCATTTGGGTTGGTTCCAAGTCTTGGCTATTGTGAATAGAGACACAATAAACATACTGTGCATGTGTCTTTATAGCAGCATGATTTATAATCCTTTGGGTATATACCCAGTAATGGGATCGCTGGGTGAAATGGTATTTCTAGTTCTAAATCCTTGAGGAATCGCCACACTGTCTTCTACAATGGTTGAACTAGTTTACAGTCCGCCAACAGTGTAAAAGTGTTCCTATTTCTCCACATCCTCTCCAGCACCTGTTGTTTCCTGACTTTTTAATGACCTCCATTCTTACTAGCGTGAGATGGTATCTCATTTTGGTTTTGATTTGCATTTCTCTGATGGCCAGTGATGATGCGCATTTTTTTCATGTGTCTGTAGGCTGCATAAATGTCTTCTTTTGAGAATTGTCTGTTCATATCTTTTGCCCACTTTTTGATATGGTTGATTTTTTCTTGTACATTTGTTTGAGTTCTTTGTAGATTCGGATATTAGCCCTTTGTCTGGTGGGTACATTGTAAAAATTTTCTCCCATTCTGTAGGTTGCCTGTTCACTCTGATGGTAGTTTCTTTTGCTGTGCAGAAGCTCTTTAGTTTAATTAGATCTCATTTGTCAATTTTGGCTTTTGTTGCCATTGCTTTTGGTGTTTTAGACATGAAGTCCTTGCCCATGCCTATGGCCTGAATGGTATTGCCTAGGTTTTCTTCTAGGGTTTTTATGGTTTTAGGTCTAACATTTAAGCCTTTAATCCATCGCCTAAGCCTCATCTTCAAAATGACCCAGCAGTGACATTGTTCCTTTTCACTCTGTAAGTTGCATATCTCACCTGCATTGTGGTCCAGGAATCTCAGGTCACCATCCCCACCATGGCCAGTTTCCTGGTGTCCCCAGGCGGAAATTGATCATCAGGGGACCTTGGAGGTAGGAAAATTATTAAAGAAATCCAAGAGCAGGACTGTAACAAGAAAGTGTGGAGGAGGGAGAGAGGACAACTGGAGAGCCAGGAGGGCCTCTGAGACCAGAGAGAGAATGCAGGGATGGGAGGGACAGAGGGACAGAGTCTTCATCCACTGAGATGGGTGGAGGCCCTGTCTGTGCCCTGCCTGTGTTGCGGTCCCCCTCTCAGGAGGTTTCTTCTGCACCACCAGTCACCCCTACCCTGTCTACTGACCCATGGCAGAAACAGCAGATGCGACTGGGGTGCACTGAGGCAGGTGGGGACCAAAGGACCAGGGACAGCAGGCGCCACACTAAGCAGGATCAAGGAGAGCTGAAGAAGGAGGTGGGAGTTGTTGTTAGAGGAGGGTGTGAAGTGGTTGGGATGAAAGAGACCAGGAGGAGCAGCAGGACCTGAGACCCTCCCTCTGCACACAGCCTTTCTCTGTTGGGCTCAGGCCCTGGCAACAGCCCATTATTTACTTCCCCCAACCCTTGCTCAGGCTCAGCCAATCCCTGCTGCACTGAAGTTCTCTCGCCCAGTGTTGTTCCTGGCAGTAAATTGTAAGGAGGAGTAGTGCTCACCAAGGGGCCTAGAGCCTGCCCT